GAGAAACAGAGATAAACGCTAAGAGGTCAAACGTGCACTTAATAACGACGCTTCGTGCGAAGATCGAGAAAAGATGCGATTGTTGACCAACAGCAGCAGCCACCTGCGCCGTTTAAGGAATGATGTGACAAACGAGCAACGACGAAACAGAAGCCATCTATTGAAAACAAAACGATGATGATGATGATGATACTAATTGTTTCAAACACGAAACTGAAATAAGATTATCTTTTGTTTGTTTTGTTGTTTTCTCATGTTTTATGCATCATTTTTGTTGTTGTTATTGTTGTTGTTAGGTAATTAGTTAATTCGATGGGAAGTTATTATTGTTTATTTGTTTGTACGTTATTCGTTTGTCTCTAGTTGCGCTCATCCGTTGAACCGCATTCCGCGGATTCCTCGATTATTATTATGGAACAATTACGTAACGATTGTTGTTACATCGAGATTGGAATTCCGTTGAAAATCTGCAAGTTTAAATTGAAGCCTGCGCTTTTATGATAATGGTGCGCAATGGAAATGGAGGATTTGAATTGAAACATCAAAACATCATTGATGGATGACAATCACGCAAAGGAAACGTCGGAGACTTCCCGTCGAAACCACCCGTAGAAGAAAAAGAAGAAACGATGAGTAACAATAACTATCACACGAAAACACGATTTCCCATATCTTTTCAAAATGTTATGTAAACGAAATTGGATGTACGTGTTCATTTGCGAACCGGAAACATGTATACCTGAAGAAGGAGGGAATTGGGGGTAAACTTTTTTTTTTTTGTTATGGGGATGGGCACGGCCGCCTCCGTTTGCCATAAATCAGCCGCGGCAATCCCCTAATTTTCTCTCCAACCCCTCCTAAAAACACCGTGTGTCATCTGGACTTAATTCATGGGTGGGTCGAAGTTGGATGAGAAGTTAATTGCATTCGATTTTCGATGTTTGCGGCATTTATATATAAATCAATTGGAGATAAGAGAATGGAATGCGTTCTCTCACTCTCGTAATTCAATTTGTCCGGAACGGGGTCGTCTCCTATGCAGAGATAACCCCGTCGCCACCGTAGTCATCCTTCTCCTCCACACTATTAGACTAAACATCTTTTGATCATTTTCAAACGTTGCTACAGACGCTCTCAATAAAAACGTTCAGGTTGTTATGGACGCCTCGAGGTTGCTACAGGCGTTTCCTAAACGTTGCTAAGACGCCTACCGGTAACGCCCACTTTAGGTTGTTGTGGACGCCTAAAATTGCGATTGAAAGGTGATGATGATATTAGGGGCAATTTAGTCTCCCCTCCCACCCATACTAAAGTCTGACATTTCTTTCTACCGCCCTTTGGGAGCCTCACGTGACTCTCATTCATCTTTTTTTTCTTTTTTTTTGGGGGCGCACCCCCAATCACGTGTCGCCGTGCGTTCGACGAATTGGCGCAAATCGATTCAAATCCGCCTGACATTTTAGAATAGTTTAAAAGTACATTTTCGTAGAACATCTTTGATTATTATAAATATGCCTCATTTCGTTGTATTTGCAACGCGCTGAAGCAGAATACAAACAAGATTAATTCGTATTTAGGATTAGACGTGATTTCCCAACAAATTAACTAAATCTATTGAATCTATTTTGCATATTAACAATTTTAATTAAACGTGAATGTTGAGTGTAGGCAACCAAATTTGCGTTCGTTTAATTGCAAAATGTTACCTGTGCATTTTGGGATGCATACGTGAGGCACGCGTGTGCGTATAGGATTTTACACACACAAACATTCATATCCATATTGAGAGGAGACAGGAGAAGACCGAGAAGACACCCTGGGTGGCTGTTGGTTGGTGGTTCATGATTTTGCAAGCAAAAAGGTCGCAGCAGAAGCATTACCAATACTATTATTACTACTACTATCAACTATAACTATATGAGTATACCAACAACTGTCTCAAAGTGTACGACATCCTTTGACGTAGAGACGTCAACAAAACGTCAAAGTGTGTTATTATGTTATTGGCACCGAGGTTTAATCAGGTTGCATAAAACGAGAAGTGCTGTTTGCGAATTTCTACAGTTGTTATCGCGTCGAAGCGCACTGTTATGTGTACGTAAGGAATTAGTTGAAGGCATAATTAGTTGAAGAGAGCATCGATATGGGGCTGATCGACGGAATAGGGGATGAAGTGCTGCACTTCTTCATAGCCATATCGCTGATTTTAGTTGGTAAGGGTTTATCTCTTTCTCTCTTTCACTGCCATTTGCAACTCGATTCTCAATTGTTGTTTAATTTACTATAGTTACCATCGCTTGGGCTACCACAAACATAAGGCAGCAATGGAACATGAGGGTGGTGTATCTGCTGGACAGGAGTGGCAGGATCAGGTCCAGCCACACTCTGTCCAATCACTTGGAATCAGCCACAATCTCTGAAGGTTTGTTATTAACTTGAGAGAGAGATGGAGAGAGAGTGTAATGTGCATATTGTTGTATTGTCAGGGACTGATCCTGGGGAGGTGATGAGGAATGCACCACCTTCTGCAGTCACAGAGGATGTATTGATACCAACAACAGCTGAGGAACCACCAGAGCGCGGCGATAGCTCGGTGGAGGAAGACAATGATGATGATGATGACGACGATGAGGATGAAGTGGACGCAGATATAAACGAGATTGTGGAAACGATGGATATGCCTTTCATCGAAAACTCAGTGTTTTCCGAAGGAACAGAGAGGTGTCTGCTCTACTGAATCCCGTTGAAGAGATTGCTGCGTCTGAAGAAATAGTTGGAGATGCTCCACAAATGGAACAACAACAACAGCCACAACCATCTGCACCTCAGCAGCAGCAGCAGCAGCAACAACAACAACAAGAAATTACAATTAAATTAAAATTTATAAACGATGATTTGAAGATCGTCAATGGGCGTTTGAGCGAAATGCTCGGCGATTTCAAGAGGTAACAACAACAACGATAGATAATTACATAATTTACCAATTGCTTCGCGCATTTCAGGAGACACTTTGAAGATGAACTCTCTTCGAATAAGCTGGTGCGTCTGATATTCAACGGACAGGTGTTGCAGAGGGATTCTGATACTCTGCAGAGTTACGGCATATTCGACAACTGCGTCGTCCACTGTCTCGTTTACCAGCAGAGGGAAAACGCTCAGGACTCTACGCTCAACGCCAACATTAATAATAATAATAACAACAACAACAACCAGCAACGGGAATGGGATCTGGGGAACCTGTTCATAGCCACAGTCAGCTTCTCGCTGGGAACGGCTTGGTACTTTAGGTGCGCACCATCTATCCTTCCTATAAACAACAATCGCGTCGTGTAATTTGTTTGTTTGTTTCTCTAGATACCAATACCCGCAGCTCTTCACCGTGACCGCGACGGCCGGTCTGATCACCATGACCGGCGTCTTCACGGTTCTCTCGATAAGCAGTTACTTTCCTGACCCGATGCCGCCGTTGCAGGAGGACATCCCGCCGCAACTGCACCGGTTGCAACCCATCCACCGCTGAACAGACTTATTATTAATATTATTTTTTTGATGAAGAAGAACAAACTGAATACGTTCGATGTAGGCAACACCCATGCAACCAGTCGATTTTCCAAACTGAATTTGTTATCATTTCTTTCAATATATATATATATAAAAGTTAAACGGAACATGGGACAAATCGTGAATTGCGTTTGATGTAAATCGGTCGGTGATTGCAGATAGAGATACATTTTTATTACAATGCGTTGCTGTCAATTGTGTGTGTGTTGTGTTGCCTACTACAACATCGACAACGTTCATTAAGCAACCAACCAAAACCTATTCCTTTTATTTTCTAAACTATACTATATATTACAATCGAATATATAATATTATTAATATGTTGATACTAAATATTTTTTATGAAGGCTTGTGTATTATTATTATTATTATTTACTATTAATTAATAATAAAAATATTTTATAAAAATCCGATATTTAGCGCGTACCGACGATTATTATTACTATGATTATTCTTTGTTGCATTGATCGATTGATTTGTTAAGAAGATTTATATATGTATATACAGAATGATGCAGTCTGCTTAATCGAGTTTCTCCTTTGTTCTAATTTTATGTATGTAATAAATATAATATTAATACTTCTAATTTCTCTCTCTTTCTTTCTCTACATCTCTCATATTGTTTTGGTTGTTGTTGATGTATATATATATATATTAACAGACGTAAGTGTATGTATATAAAACAAAGAAAAAAATGGCATGGTGATAAAAAGTAATATTCTCTTTCGCTCTCTCTCTCTCTATTTCTCTCGCTCTCTTTTTCTATCTGTTCAATGCGATGATGATCGATTTGCTTAACCGGGATCAACTCTTGAGCGAATTCGGAACAGTCTTCCAGGACCTTGGGGAAGCAGAAACCATAGATGTAGCTGTTGCTGTTCGTTGTTGATGATGATGATGCGGCGATTGATGATGATGATGCTGCTGCTGTTGCTTTATGAATGGTGAATATGGTGGTGGAGTTGATGATGATGATGGTGGTGGTGCGTGGTTAGAACTGAAGAGGAGAGAGCAGGTCAAGTCGTCATTAGTATAATCGATTAAAACTTATTTGTTTGTTTATTTCTTGGTAAAAGTCAAAATATTATTATTATTATTAACGTCCGGTTTGATTCTCATGTAACTTATTTTTTTTTTTAGTTTCCTTCGAAAAGAAATTAACAGAATCGAGCCAAACCGACGAAAACAACAACAAAAAAATAATGTAAATATATATATATAAGTATATATTCTCATCATCACTCGTGTTTATTATTATCATCATCATCATCAAGATCATCAATTTTGTGGTTGCTGTTGTTGTAGCAGTTGTAGCTCATAGGTGGATGTTGTTGTAGAAGAAGTTGTTGTTGTTGTTGTTGATGATGATGTTATTAGCTTGTTTCTAGAGAGCAAAGTTTGATTGCTGTTATACAGACACACACACATAATTACAGTGGAAGGAAGGAAGGAAGGACGGACAGGGTAAAAACTAAGTAAGTAAGATAGTAAATCGATTTGTTTTGACTGTTAGTTAGTTAGTTTGTTGGTTTTCTTTGTACTTACTTAAGGCTATCATTGTGTGTTTTGTACTCCATGGTTGTGGTGACAGATAAGTTAAGTAGCCGCTTCAGGGCGTCCCGGATACGGTGTGTTGTCATTTGATCCGATGCGTTTCGGTTCCAAATACTGAGCAGGTCTTCTTGAAACCGAACAGAAACAACAACACCACATATCTCATTACCCGCCTGCATCACAACATCATCACAGAGAAACAGAAGAGAGGAACAAAAAAAAAAACAAAACAATGATCAGTAGTAATAAACGGATTGCGAGCGAGCCGCCGTCGGTCAGCTATTATTTACCATGAACTGTTCCCCCAACATTGCCATGCACAGGTTTTCCCATGCCCTATTCGCCTGCCCTTTCTTAACCCTAATAACCTGCATCGACAGATATAAATAACATCAAAATGTGTTTGTAAGTTGAATAATAACAACAATCAACAAACCAACCATCTCCCACTGTATATGGTGGTGGTTGTGGTTGTTGGTTTGTAGCAGTCGTCACTCTCACTCGACTCACCCATTTGCCACCCTTCTGATTGGCAGGATCCTCCCACATCGGCTGTATGCCCTTCTTGAACAGGTGCAGATCCGCGTACTGCGGCAGGTCGTGCAACCGTTTGATGTGACTGTACAGGGCCCACCACTGCTCCACCGTGCCCACCTGACCGACCAATCGCAGTGCCTGACTGTAACCCAGTGTGCCTTGCACGTGTGCATTCCGGGCACTGATGGACGGCCTCTGCGAGAACCACAGGCAATAAGCGTGCTGCAACCTGTGCTCCCCCGGTGGATAATCCACTGGGCCCAGGTCCATCACAATGTTGTTTATCTCGTCCTCGCCGCTGCCGCTGTCTGAGTTGTTCTCCATGTGGAGTTTTAAGCTGCAAACAAGATTAATATGAAACATTATTGCACTGGATGAAAAACAACAAAATGTTTAAAACTTACGCTTCGAATTTGTTAGACATTATTGTAGTTTATTTGTTTCTATCTATCTATGAATATATAAACTATAAAATCGTTTATATATATATATTTCAAATGGGTTTTCGTCTCTCTCTCTCGCTTGATGTTGTCTTCAGCAAACTATTTTCTTCCTTCACACTTTTGTATGTGTGTATGTGTGTGTGTGTATTATGTATTAGATACTAATAAACTTCTCTTCGGATTTGCGTTCACCGTAAAAAATACTTGTATCACAGATCTGATTTGTATAAATAATACTCCTCCGTCTCTTCCTCACCGCCTCTACCGCTAACTATATATATATTTATATAGATATAGATATATTATACACATACATATATATATATAAATCTTTCTCTCACTAAATCCTTCCCAAAAATCGTATGTTGCTCTCGCCTTTTTGACGTTAACCAAAAATCTTTTCTAGCCTCTCTCTGCACTTCCGTGTTTGACCTTCACACCCACTGCTGCCAACAGCAAATCGGAACGCGTGCATCTCGCAACCGAAAATCCCCCAAAAACCACGATCTACCCCATCTACATCCCTTCACCGATCATCCCCAATAATGAAAGGAACTTTTACGTTTTTCCCTCATCATTTTCGGTCCATCCGACGATGCAGTATTGGAAAAGCAAAATCGGCGCGTCACTTCGAATTCCCGTTGCTTCGAAAGCGGTCACCAACACCGCCACCGCCGCCGTCGCACGTGTGTAATTCAATATACGCATAACCACTATTTATAAATGCAGCCGTAATCGGGCTTACAACGAACTGCATAATTGCATTTCAAATTTGATCTTCAATCAGCCTCATTCGCATCACCGAAATCGATAAGCTATTGATATTTGGTAAACAGGACCCAATTTTTCGATTTTCAAATAAACCAAATTTGCATAAATTCATAAATAATTACAAAAAAAAATAATTATAAACACTAAAGTTGGTACCACTTAGGTTGGCAATTGAATACGAATTGATGCACAACTTATGTTGGCAGCAAGAGCTGAAATCGTAAATATCGCAGCATTACCAACTGCAAGATTTGAAATGTATATTAAAAGAGCGACGATTTTCTTTCATCGGGGAATAAATTTATTTAATTCTTCGTCAATAATAATAATAATACAGTTTATCTTGTTTCTCTCTCTCTCTTTCTCTCACGCATTCACTCGCTCCTGTACAAAAATATATTTACAACATGGTGTATCAAACGCGCACATATTTCCTTTTATTATATTATTTTTTGTTTGTTTTGTAACTATTTTGTTGTTGCCAGTAGTACCACAATAATATTTTAGTTCCGCTGAAAAATATTACGTCATCTCTTATCCTGTCAACAAGTCAATATATATTTATATATATATATTACATATCAATATATAAATATATGTAATAGTAATTACAATTAATATAATTGTTCGCCCCGGTTCGTTTCCCCAACAAAAAAACAGAAAAGAAAAAGAAAAAAATCACCGAACCGGGCGTGTGCACATATCAGGATCGAACGGAAGAAGAAACAAATACGAATAAACATTAGTCATTATTAAGTAATAAGTACCCTTTTCCATACCAAATATTCAGAGAAAAACATATATAAAAACAAAACAAAGTCGCATTAAAAAAAAATACAATAATCATAGCCTATTTGATGCTTCCGAAGAATTAAAAAAAAAACAAACACATAAATATCGCGTACGAAACAAAAGAAAAAGTATATATATGTATATAAATATAAGAATTAGTATTTATATAATAATCGTATCTACTAATAATAATAAAATAAAACCCTGAGTTGAACGCAAAAATATGCTCTATGTATACTATATATATAATATATGTAATAATAATAATAATAATACAACAAAAAAAATATTATCATTAATCTGAGGTAGTTTTCAAATGCTTTGAACGTTAACGCCGGATTCGCTATTAAAACAACGTACAATTACCAAAACCCGCCCCCGATCCGCCCACATTCCGTCCCCGCCGACCAATCAAACGGCAACTGGCAACAGGAAGTGCGAAACGAAGAAACGGGAAGGAATTCTATTGCTATCGGAAGTGTACATAATAATAATAATAATAATAAAAGAAAAAGTTGAAGGAAACGATACGAAATATATGCGCAGAACATTCAGAAATCACCCTGTATATAAATGTATGTATATATGCATACACATGTATCAATACATAATTTGTGTGGAATGTTTTTGTTTCTTTTTTGCAACATAATTATTTCGTATAAAAGAACAACAAATGTATGTTATTAATATTATTAAACTTTGCATCGGTTGGTAACTATTATAGAAATTGCTTGTAGTAGGTAGCACACCTCCTCAACTCACTCTTAATTTTACCCGGAATGAACGAATGAATGAAGTTGATTTTTGATTGTTTGTTTGTTGTTGTTGTTGTTTGTTGTTAGAGAGCGCATTTTAAATCGTCGTTTTCATATTTAAAGGTGAAATTAATTAAACAATAATAATAATAATGATAATAATTAGTAATTAGTTAAAGATCGCTTTGTACATTTCCAAGACACATTCACTCGTTGCTCATTCATTCCAGAAATTACAAAATGTGTAAATAATAGCAGACCGTCTCATGTCGTCATTATTATTTTCTTAGTAGTCAAATCAAGTTTAAAGGCACAGACCGTAGTAGTAGTAGTAGCAATAGTAATAATTTATGTACGCTATTCTCGTTTGCGAGTTGTTGCTGTTGTTGTTGTTATTAATGTTAGTTATTTCTTTTGCATTTGCTGTTCGAATATAGAGAGAGAAGTGGCGTCAGTTTTAGGTTTCACCTACTGCAATAGTAGACTCGTCACTTTTTTGTTTCTGCTTTGTTTTGTTTTGATCGTAACTACTACCACTACTAGTAAACGAAAACTCTTTGGAAACCATCATTCTCACTCTCACCGTTCATTGGTTGGTTTTGGTGTGGTTGTGGTTCGTACTACACCGTCCCATCCATCATCCCTTCCACATCATCATCATCAACTATTTACATTCTGTTAATCTTAACTTTATACAATATATAATTTATATTCATATCCATATAATATATATATACTTTCAGTTTCAATGTATCAGGTACTCTTCTTCTTCTTCTTTTTCATCTGCGTGTATCTTTCCAACGTGTCGTCATGACACGACAAGAGAAAGTTTGTCAAGGAAATAATTATGATGATCGTGTGGGTGTGGTCGAATATCATTTGTTTTTCTTTTTTTTTAATGTAACTGTATGTGTGTGTGTATATGAATCATCAGTTGAGCAATCGCAATCGTCAATCAATGCTCTTCTCTCGTTGTATCATTAGTACATTTCATCTCGAAATTAAAACAAAAAAAAAACACTAAAAAAATGTCGCTTAAAATTAACAATACACATTTAGTAATTAATAATAATAGTTCATTCTCTCCTCATTTTTGTTATTTTTTGTTGTTGTTGTTTCCTCTTTCATTATTTTGAATCTCTAAGTTAATAATTAAAGCTCTCTGTAATTAACACCGTTAGTGCTCTCTTGTCTGTCTTTGTATTTTCTTATGTTAATAGACAAAAAAATAGATTACTCTCTCTTTCTCTTACTCATGCTTAGCTGCCCGTGATGAGAAATTATTAAAGTTAGAAATTAAACAACGGCAACGCCACGCCCTCTTTGTATGTCGTTAAGCTGCGATTGGACGAAATTTGTTTTATCTGCTTT